GTTCCTCGCATGTAAGAGGCAAGGACCAGCAGTAGCCATGGAGCCATGGGTTTGCAGCGCCGAGGTGAAACTAAGTGGTTGTGATCAGTGACCGGTTGAAGGCTGAGGTATTTGGGGACCTAGTCGGGATTATCAGGGAATTTTACCTAGGGAAGTGCAGGAGCCCATACAGGAGCCCATACAGTGGGGTGATAAGCTATTAGGTCAAGTAGACGGGGAACAGTTGGGGACTGATATGGGACCTCATTTTTTTTCCCTCCTACCTAGCAAGGACGAAGCCCGCATTGCAGGGTGGGACCTCATGATTATTAGGGTTTAGTAAGTGTACCGAAGTGAAGATACACAGAAACACATTCCGAGGCCACTGACGATTTCCAGTCCAGCAGTAGGGAGCAGCAGGGTGGTATGTGGTGCATCATCCATCCATTGTGTTGGCACATTGGGTGGCAGCACTTCTCCGTCTCTCAGTTCTGTCTTTCCGTGCCCTTTTGTAGTTGGGGAAAAACACAAATGGAACCCCTTTGAACAGCTGAAGCTAACCAAAGGATCAAAACTTGTGTTACTTTTTGTCCAGAAAGACAATTCCAAGGGTCCAGACCTAGGCAGACCCAAGAGTCCAAACTTAGTCAATGTGATGAACGATGGAACCACTTGGGGACAGCGTAAGGCATGGAGCGGATACGGAGTCCACAAACTGCAGCTGTTGTTGCAGTAGTCTGGGACGCTTTGGGGCTTGGGTCAGGCCAGTTTCTGGGAACCAGTTATCAGGAATGGAGCTCTCAAGGTCTCGTGTTGTTGGAATCGCAAAGCCTAGGTCCTGAAGCTGTTGGTTTAGAACAGTTGGGAGATTTCGCACATGAATCACTGTCCAGGCAATCAGAACAACTCTTGGCGTCGTATCCTGCATATGTGCACTGGCATGAAGTAGCCTCCTCGCGTCAAAAACTACTGGTGATTGATGCGCTGGAATGTTGAATCCTTTAATTAGCGAACCCTGATGTTCTCGTTCATCTGGTCCAGCTGGGTGAGCAATCCATAACCCTCCTCCGGTACAAGTGCTCAAAACCTGAAAGAAAGTGCCACAAGGACCATTGCGAGCATCCCGATGGGGGTCTCTGGGGTAGTCTTCACGTACTGCAATGGTCGTGAAGCGGAAATCTGGCATCGTTTGTCGTACATACGCAGTAAGCATTCGGGTGAAGTAGGGATGGGTCAGGGAACCTTGCAGTAGGGTTAAGGAAGATCGGGGACTAGCACCGACATAGATAACTTGGGGATCAAGGTGACTAGAGATCTCAAGTGTACGAATACACGTTCGAAAGGTTCTCGGAATGTGGTTCCATACTTCTAGGAGAGTCTGAGGATCAATCGTCGTTTCATTGCGATCAGCTTTCTTCACTGTAACAAAGGCAAGTAATTCAGAGTCAGCTAGACGACGATCAATGCCTAGGGCTCTCACGAAAGCACTCATGTGACTATTCAGACTCTCTAGTTCATCCATGTCATCAGCAGTGGTCATGACCTCAGAATGCAGATTGCCCGCACAGAAGATCTATGGCCCCTGTGTCGTTTCTGTGTCCGGCTTCTGATCCCAAACTTGAGAAACTGGGAGCGCACACTGCAGCTTCACCAACTTTCCTCTCGGACAACCTAACTGAGCTGCAGTAGTTCTACCATAGCTACACGAACTCAGCATATAGACAGACTAATCATGGGCTTTTCGCAGTAGTCATGAAGTACGAGCGCTCAAGCGGTTTTGAGAAATCGCGAGTCTGCTACAAGTACATGTAAAGTCACTGCACACACACTGTGAACTCGGTCGGTATCTTTGTGGCTGTCATGCGGTATTGGAGTCTGGGCTTCCATGCAGGTGCTGTGCACCGGTCGCAGCTGCCGAATGCAATGAATTAGGTGAGGATGGCAAATGTCTGGGGTGAGAACCGTGACCGACAAGAAACGTAGGTTTACGGATAATAACAACCCCTAACAAATGCCAGCGCACATGCAGAGTGGATGAATATACATGTTCACAGGCATGCAAGCAAGGTCATTACAGTTCAAATTGTTTTGCAAGATCAATTAGGCAAATTGTACAAATTCATGAATTAAATGGATCAAAGCCCAGGTGGGTGCAGTCTGTGACCCAGCAAAATTCCCATTGGTATGGTTAGGTGCTGGGCTCGACGGCTGGTTCACGACCGCAGGTTGTGCTACCGCTTTACAGCTATTCTGACATCGAAATTGCAGGATCTCGAGGACAAAGTAGCAGGACGATTCAGCTGTATCGGCACTCCTATGTTGTTGGACTGCAAAGTGGTGTTACCGTAGGACAACGAGTATGTTAGGATTTATGAATGTGCCGTGTCAGCGCTGGTTCTGTAGCAGCGCTGCAATTATGTTGCTCCCGGCAGCAGTTGTGGACTGTGTCGGCAGCTGTGTGATCAGAAAATTCGGTTGTGAGACGGCTGGCTGACTCAAGTGTTCGGAAAGCCTCAGCTGGATACCCGGTGCCGGGCTGTCCAAAGAGACCGGTATGATCGTCGGGCCAGGCATAGGCATTGTCTGTGCTGTCGATGGTCCCAAGGTAGTCGGTGGCGTCGTCGGGTGACTCGGTTGGGAATCTCGCTGGTGTGGCACCTCTGCTTGCTTGCTGTCCTGTGGTGGCTTCCGTTGGGGAAGTTTGGGCAGCCGGGACAGGATTTCATTCAGCAGGTCACGATCACTGAGGATGCCTTCCAGTTTCGTTTCAGACTCAGCCATCTGGTCCACCAATGACGAAATCAGCGGCTCCACACGAATCAATCTGTCCTCACATGCCTGGATTGTCTCCATGTTCTGATGAAGGTTCTGCTGGGCAACTCCTGAAGCTTCACGTCCAGCTGCAACCAAGTCGCCAAGTCTCTTCACCTCCGGCATGACTGGCCCAAGGCCACGAATGAGCAGCAGAGAGTCACGGGATTGTTGAGTCAGCTCAGGAATCGAGGTGCCTAATCCCCTCACCAGGGGTGTAGCAGCTTGCTAACCTTCTCCTGGTTTTCTGCAACGCTTTTCGAGACTTTCTCCAGGGCATTCTCCTGGAGCTGAGTGGCTGTAAGTTTCGCCACCGCCGTATGTGTCTCGGTAATGCGGTTGTAGAAGCCGCCCAATTTGGCACACTCACCAGTCACCGCATTGATCTGTTTGTGCATACTGGTGATCTCCGATGCAGCAGACTGTAGCGTGGCCAGTTGAGCCAACACTTCCACGTGTTGTTTTTTAATCACGACAACCTCGGCAGTCAGATTTTCGATCTCCTTAGCCATCTGTGTCGTGTCAATGTCATGAAACATTTTGACGACATCAGCAAGGTTCGGGGTATCTGTAGAGCCAGGTGGAGGCATTTTGTCTTCAAACTCTGCCAGCTTAGTGTTGATAGAGTTAATCGCAAGGATCATGTGCTTCTGCCAGCGATACATGTGCAGGCCAACTGTAACCACTGCGATGAAGAGCGCAGCAAATAGAAGCAGCTCCACGTATGAAGCTCCGACCTGAGCCATGCACCAGACCATCTCAAGGATGGTTGTGAGAGGGCTAGCGAGTTCCATCGCACGAAAGTTGGATGCACTGCGTATGCTGATCCGGGCAATTGTTGGAGCCAGTGAGCTGCCAGCTGTTAGGCTAGTACTCATGTGAGACTCATCATTGCCATCGCAGCGGGAGCGGTATGAGGCTTTGGGGCGCTTCACAAGACGAGCAACACAGTGGGTTAGGAATTAAGGAATTAATGGACCGCCCTGCCCCCCCCCCTTTTTTACCCCTTCAATTCAGGCAACTAGTGACTACATCCAGAGCTGGAATTGTGGGAGGGGTTGGTGATCACGTAGTAGATAGACTTTATTGTGGTTGTGTGTGCGGATAACCCTGCGAAAATGATTGAAATGATAGGCTTCCTTCGCAGACTTGTCAGCAAGTTCATTGAGGGCATGTCCTTTATGGGCTCGTACATGCTTGGCCGTGACCGTCTTACAAATGGAATGCCAGAGTGAAATGAGGTTATTTGTATCGGGGATGTGACACGTAGGCTGAATGGTTTCATCGAGAATCTGGAGTACGTATTCACTATCCGTGAGATACAGGACAGGGATTTCAGGGCAGAATTGGCGGAACCATTTGATGAGGGTAAAAGCTTGACATGCAGCGACAATTTCGGCCCTAATATTTGTGCAGTAACCATCAATTCTGCCCTGTGCAATGATGACATCAGTCAGCTCTGCATATGGCGCAAGGATACAGACTCCATAGGAGCCGTGCGCCAATTTAGAGCTTCCATCGGAGCAGAAGGTGACGGCTGCCAACTCTTCATTTTCTTCAGGCGGGGGAATCCACTGGTACGCAGCAGGGTAAGGTTCTTCGACCGGGGGATGGCGCATCATTAGCAATTTAAAGGATTCCCCAACCTGAAGAAGCATCCGTCCATGCAAGTCGCAGTTACTGAGGTCGGGGTAGTACTGTGTGGGGGATAGATCACGTTGATCCATCCATGTTTTAAGGGCACCCTCCCAGAGGAGTCGATCCTGGCAAGCCTGATACCAAAAGGGCACTTGTCCCATTTGTCGGACAGATTCCCACATTTTTTATAATTGAAATAATTGAAATCCGAAAGCTCCGATTTAAATTATTTCAATTATTTCAATTATTTAAAATAATAGTAATCATAAAGAAAAGAATAGAGCATAAAATAGACCCTAGAGGCGCCTCTCTCATATATATATATATATATATATATATATACATATATATATATATATATATACACATTTTGATTTATGCATGTCTCTGTGTGTGTGTCTGGGATGCACCGTAACAAAACATACTGGGACATTGTGTATTCCACTACTCTCCATATGCCATCTGCTATCATACTGCTACACTCAAAGAATACAGTGATTGATGCGATTGAATTAGCATGCCGCCTACAGGACCACCAAAGGTATAGGCATAGGTTTGAACAACACAGACACTCACAGAAAATCACAGACAGCAGGTCTCGCGTTGACACGCCGGCTTGCTGCAGATGCAGGTGCCTCCGAGTGCCTGTTTTGCTGGGCACCGATAAACTCCGGATGGTCATCAGGATCCACTGGCCCAACCAAGGCCTCAGCATCCAAAGCGTTCTTGACTTGCGCGGCTTCGGTACCACACAGGTCCTCTTCGCAGGATAATGTGAAACACTGAGGCTGTGCTCCCAAGAACTTCTGGGAAAGACACTTCATGCACATTGGCCATGTACTTTTTGACCGTGGCCACTTCGAACATCAACCTGCGGGCTGGCTCTGCAGCATGCTCCCAACATGCATCCATCTACTGCGCCGGGCAGGCAATACGAAACTACAGTAGGAGTTTGGGGCAACTCACGCTGCTGGCTTCCCTGCAGGTCTCGTGAGCTCAGCAGGAATCATGCAAGAGGCACCTGGCCACGTCGATGCTTTTCGCACCTCCACTGAACATCTGGATTCCGATGGCAAACTCCTAGCACAGGGTGCTTGTGCGGAGCACTGTGCTGCAACAAGGCTGATGCCGTGTATGAGCCGATCCGTCCTCGACGGAAACACTTCCGTTGTTCTGAAAATCCAACCTTATTTCCGTGGAACAACGTCAACTATCGCAGCCTCAGGGACTTTGGCAATAAGAACGGTGGACACATGCCGAAACCTTTTGCTGACAGGTGGCATGTCGAAAACGTTTCTGAGTTCGGCTTCTGTGTCGATTGCTATCCTCAGCTGCCAGCAGAAACTGTCAACATAGCACGCTGACTTAGGCATGAGAAAGCATGCAAGGCCGAAGAACACGCTCCCGTTTAACCACTCGCAACCAAAGTTCCCAAGCTTCTTGAAGCAAGTCTGGAAATGAAGGTCCGATGCGCATGCCTGGAACTCCTGCAACCGGAAGCGATCCAAGCAAAGCTGTACGGCTTGCCATGGCCAGCAGGGCGCTTGCACTCGTCGGTTTTTTTCGGGCTTTGGCCTCGTCCAATCGACGAGTGTGTGAAACGGATGTGCCAAGCTCTTCTCGGCACCTGCACGTCTCGCCGTCTCGCCCGCAGATCCGCTTGGCGGAGCTGGGCAAGTCGATGAAGGATTCCAGGAGGGGCTTTAGGCCTTGCTCTCGCCTGAAAGGCTCGGGGCGGAAAGTGCCCGAGGAAGGCCTGGAGGAGCGTGGGCTCCGGAGCCCGCGAAAGTCGCCGCTGCGCTGCGCGGTCGTCGGAGGGAGCCTGGGGGCTGTGCCTCCCCATGCTTTATGAAGATCCAGCTGGAAGCAGAAGTAGAAGCACTCCTCACCTCGCTCTGATGGCCCTGACCCTGGCCCTGGCTCTTCAGAGATGCATGCTTCTCGTACCAATCATACACACCATCCAAATGCTTGCATCGGGCCTCGTGGCTTCTTGCCTGGCCACCCGAGTTGTGGGCCAAGTCGAAATCGACGAACAGCTTTTGAAGCGAGTGCCCGGCTCGATTCAGAAAATGATCCTTGACGCTTTTCATGTCGAAAAAATGGAGTTGCTTCCGCCTCGCCTCTAAGGATTCCCGCTCTGTTCTCCATGATTGGCGGGCCTGGTGGGCAGCTGCCTCCTGCTTCTGGACCTCGGCATCCCGTCGTGTCATCCACTGCTCGAGCTGCTCATCTAGGCTCATCGACAGTTGGAGCTGTTGGCGATGCTGCTTCTGTGCTTCCTCCAGAAGCTGGCGCGCCTTCTGGTCGACCCGCCCTCGAAGCACGTGCTCCGGCTGCTCAGGGGCTTGTGAGCTTTGCAGCACAGCGGAGGCCGAGGCCGGTCTGAAACTGGCCCTTCGCCCTTCGTTGCTCGGCCGCTCGGAGATCGATTCGAAGGTCGTCTGCAGCGCTGCCCTCGGCAAGGAGTTCACGGACTTCACGGTCTCTTCGGACTGGCGCCGGCCGGGGCCAAGGCCGGGGCCGCCCACGCCCATGAAGCTCGAAGCTGAGGTTCTCCGGCTGTCCGCCGCTGCTGAAGTCCGCCTGCTACTTGCAGCCGCCGACGTCCGTCGACTGTATCCACCGTAGGCTCGGCCCCAGGTACTGCTCGCAGAACCCCGCCGGCTTGCAAGCAACGCAGGTGACAAGTCGGATCCCGAATCCAGCTCCGACTGCATCTGGCTGGGCTCATCATCGCCGAAGCTGTCTTCCATGAGAGAAACCTGTGGCGTTTGCTCCGGTGCTGCCTCAGCCGTCGCCGCAGCCTCCACCTTGTGCACGAAATTCTTCAAAGCTTTCATCTTCGGGTCGCTGTACAGTGCAGCACTCCGCGAGGCCTTCGGGGCAGTCAGAAAGCAAGGGAGGGCGATCCCTTTCAGTTGCCGATTCGCGGTCCCGCTCTTCTCCTTTTTCTTCCTGCGTCCTTTGGAGCCTTTGGACGCCTTGGAAGAGGAGGAGACATTGCTTGATCTTCGGCTCGATTTGCTTCCCACCATTAAGCAAAACCCAAGGTGCTCTCCTGAGGATGCATTGCGGCTGCTTGGGAACCCCTTCGAACGCTCGAGCACAGGTTGCCGGACGCATCTGCAGGCAGAGGCACGTCTACATCACTACTCTTTTCTTCGGAGGGTCTTCAAAGGAAAGAACAACATCAACATTTCGCGAGTTGGCGGACCAGGAAGTGACATGACATGACACCCCTCCGGCGCTGTTCCGGCTGTCCTCCCAGTTCACATTGCCTGCGACGAAGGCTCTTGCAGATGCACCATCAATCTTTGCACTCCACTCTCGTAATGCCACCAAGATGCCGGACTTGTCGATGTCACACTCTGAGAAAAGACGACTGACGGTGTCAACGTAGTCCTGAGCAGCTCTTCCGAAGACTTTTGGACTGCTAAGTCCAAGCGACTGCCGTTGACATGCTCCGGACGCGATCCTTTCGAGCTCGGAGCTCTTCCATCATGCACATCTCCTGCCATCGACGCAACTGCTGCAGCTGGTCATACTCGTTATGACGTTGGAATCCTCTCTACAATACATCACTCTTATTCCGTCTTCACAACATCAGCTCAACAACACACTCCGTGCTGAGAGCACGAAGTCAACAGGAGTGCGCCCTACAGGTCAGCCAAGAACGAGCACTCCTCGTCAGCTGCTGTCATCCGGCTAGCATTTTCCACAAACACCCCGGTCATGACCTCGGGCAGCCGACCCTATGTTTCTGAAGCTGACCGTCTCCGAGGTCGGTGTCAAACCCCCTTTGGCAGAACTACATGGGGGAAGGAGGGCCTAAGCCCAACACCGCTCACACGGGGAAAGTGGATGAGACATGGCTGTCACACGTTAGCAAGCAGTGACGTCGGCATGTACAGTCTTTGTCACTTCGCAGGAAGAACTCAGCATGGAACTGCGACTGTCACTGTAACTCCTCTCGCCTTCTCTAGTCTCAGGCGGTGGCATTGAGGACGCAGAAGAGTGCAAAGCACATGTACACCTCACGACATCGCCACGACTTCTCCAACCGAACAAGCTCTGCTCTGATCTGCTCTGAGCCATCGCCGAGGCGCCACGAAGAGCAGAGCGAGGAGCAAACTCACCTCGTTGAGCATCCGCGCCACGTCCGCCCAGTCCACGCCTCCAGACCTCAGGCGGAAGAGAGCACACCAGCACCACAGCAACAACACCACACCGACCCACTGCCAGTGCGTTCCGTCTGGGGGCATGGAGGAGAAGAGCGTGAAGATCCCGCCGAGCCTCGGCTTCAGCTGCCGCAGCTGCCAGATGCTGCCAGGGCCGACGCTGGGCACATCCGGTCCCCGGGCGCGTGACAGGGTCCCGAAGTGCAAAAGAAGCTGTTGGGCCAGCTGCTCCTTGGCCTCCACGGAAAGGTCCAAGGATGATAAGTACGGTCGCAGCAACCTCAAGCAGACTCAGGCATGCTTGTCACATCAACATTGTCACACTCTTGAACCGACATCTGCAGACAACGCTTCCTTGCGGCGAAGTAGCTGCAAGATGCAGGCTGCAACAGCAAACCTGTGATTCCAAGCAGGCTCGGCTCAGGCTTCAGGCAGCATCAGACGGCCTCTAAACGAAATTCCATCTGAACTGCTGATTGACAGAACATCGACTTGAAGGTTTGCCGGTCGTGGAACTATCTTTCTGAGTGGTAGGGGTGAAAGACCGCCGTCATCCGCTTCTGCTACTTGGAGATTGCATCGGTTTGAGCTTCGGACTTGCCAGGCCGGAATTGAAGGCTTCGGGATTTCTGCTGAGCTCTGCAGCTTGGGCCTGGCTGATTTAGAGCCTTGCTTCAAGGATCATGGGACTTAGTAACCCGGGGTATAATTCGATAACTATACGTATAACCCCAATCAAGGTACTTATAGCCTTGCTTACTAAGTCCCATGATCCTCCAAGTGCTGTTACTCCTCAAAAGTCAACCTCCAGGGCCGGTTCTCGTACACTCCCGGACTTGTCCTTCTCGGACTCCGGGCCCGCATTTTGCGACATTACCGTGCTATGGGGCTTTAAGACTGCCGGCTGCTGCATCGGCGCACTCTCGCATTCTTCCGATCCTACTTTGTCTCTGTGGCTTTTGTGCCACCAGAAGCAAATAGTAATCTGACCAGACTACTGCCCCTACAAATGGTCATGCCTCTGCACTAATCACGAGTACTATGCTTGACATGCATGCAACACTGTCACATTTACCTGCGCCTCTGCTCGTCTATCCCATAGTTTTTGTACTATTTGAGCCAGGCTGGCTTGCACAACGATCCCAGCATCCCATTGAAACTACAACTGTCTGTCCAGGCTTTCCAAAATGGCCGGATGATATCTTAGTTGCACGGTCCTCTCCTGATCTTTGTGTTGTTTTGCATTATTCCTCGCACTGCTTCTCGACTCTGCTACAAGGTGAGCCGTGCTCTGACAATGTGACAAAATCAGGTCTTGCTAACATCCTGTCTTGTGCGAGGCCAAAGACTGCCAAGCCAGACTAGGGAGGCCGGGAGGCTTTCCGTGCGGGAAGTTTCGAAGCTCATAGCGCACACTAGGGCAGAAGCCACCTACGTCTGAGCCGAGCAGCATTAACATAAACAGAAGCAGGAGCGCCCACACCAGAGTCTTGGAAGACACCAGGATGCCTCAGAGCTTCGGCTTCCACATGTCTCCGAGATCTTGGAACTGGTCGCCCTCAGGCCAAGCAGCCGTTCACCATAACTCGGAGGTCGGTGAAGTAGCGAACCACACGAAAAACTCCTCGGGTTTCGTGTCATTCTTTCAGAGATCATGCCTTATTGCGGTGTTTTAAATGCCTCACCAAACCCAAATACGTAAGACCCGGAAACCCCTCGAAAACCCTTGTAGACTCCCTGACTACACCTGAACCCCTGTTTAGTCCAGCCGCTCAGGATGCGAAGCAGGCGCGCCAGCCTGAGCACGCGCAGGGCGGTGACGTTGATGCCAGATGCCGCTCGGCTCATGATCTCCTCGGTCTTAAGAATACGACGAGACATTGTAACAAAGATAGAGCCAGCATGCTTTCATGAAAAGGGCACCCCACCTTATAGGAGAGTCTAGGGCTTTTCGACTCGCACACACTCGCACGAAGCAGGCGCTCGCGCTTGTAGGGGTTATGGATGTCTATAGGGTAAAGGCAGAGTTTCCGGCAGTGTCCAGGCAGCGTTTGGATAGGTTTATGGGGTTGGTAAAACCAAAATGTTTAGAGTTTGGCATGATGCACATCGAGGGTCATCAATGAGCGAGCTGAGCACCAGAAGGCCATCAAATGTATTCCAGCCAACATCCTCGATGCTCGAGACTCTGGGGCTCAATTCTTCTGAGGCCCATCGGGTGCAGACGAGGAGCTGGATTCTGACAGATGTACATTGCCCGACCGTACGCGAAGCATCTGATACCAAACTCTGCCAAGAATATCAGCGTGAACATCATCTGGCAGGGGAATCGCAGGACCCCGCAAAGACGACCCGCTAGCATGCTGAGGGGAATGTCAAGCCAAGTGGCACCCAGCACCTCAAAATGAGCCTCGGTTTTAGTAAAGACTGATCCATTGAATACCTGAGAACCACTGCATCAAAGAGCCGGCTCCGGTGAAGCGTGGTTCTGCACCCCCCAATCCACCTGCCAGCCTCGAGTTGCCATCCGAACTGCAGGAAGATTTTGACCATCCGCACTGCTGGCAGTATGTACCGTGTCAATGAAACCAGCGAGGCACCCAAGCTGCAGCAATTCAGGAAGATTAAAGCGGCAAGCGCCTTCCCAAACCTCAGGTGGAACAGCTTGAATTTGAAAGCCAAATCTACCTCGCCAGCTTGGCAATCCCTGGAGGATTGGGCAGCCAGGAAACGTCGGGGACTCCAAAAATTTCCGGCTTCGCTTCCCCCATGCCTCACTCCGCACGATTCTGCTCTCGCAACGATCAAAAACTCTCAACACGACTGCTGAGCACCACCAACGGCCTGCATCCTCGTGTCTGTCGGCAGAATAGGCTCTTCTCCATACCACCATCTTCGCATGTCCCTGTGTCGAGCCAGGACGATCGGTGGAAGTTAGACAAGGATTAACCGGGTCTCTTCCCGCACGGGCAACCCAAAGATGAGTGCAACACAGGAGCTGGCCCGCATGCGGCAGTTCCACGTGAAATTGTCTAGTGAAGGATCGCTTCAAGGGGCTCTGCCGATCTCCAAAGGCATCCCTCTTCCTCAGGACATACAAACAAAAACGCCTGTCTCTCAGTCCATATCCGCCTCCGCCCACCCGGAAGATGCCAAGGTGCTGATCTGCATCGTCTGCCTGCCGGGATGTGGAGATGATACTGATGCTAAGAGGTCTGACGACTTGCGAGACACATGATCATAAGGATCAAAAGAGTCGTCATCCGGCCAAGGCCAAGGATGGTCCACGTGACGTTGACGATGCAGGTATGGTAGCGACAAGCATAACCATTCAGCATCAGCATCAGCATCATCATCATCATGTCCGTTCACCATCTTCACCACCATGACAACGGATGGGATGGTTCTGAGGCATCCAATACGCACGAATGACATGGAGTATAGTTACCCAGGCCTAACGATCATGCAAAGAATAGTGGTAGGTAGCAACACTACCAACGACAGAAACACAGCAACATTCTCTCAATGGGGCAGGCCTTCGGTTTGCCTTGGCTTGGTGCCTCCTCCCGGAGATGCGCGGGTTTGTCCGTTGGCTTCGCTGCAGACAGCGTTCGCCTCCCGCGACCGAGGCATTTCGCACCAATAGGTTTTGGGAGCCGATTATACTATGATTATGATAAGAAACCCTAACAATACAGAAATACTGTAGGTAATTATTTGGGCTTCTATTAATGAACCCTTTCAGAGCGCAAGCACAGAAACGTCTGCAGCTCGTCAGCGCGTGGCCTGCCAGCTACGCCCTTAGCAATGATGCAGCTTCTGGAACTCCAATGTCCCAACGATCATGTCACGATACCAATCATATCCGACATCATGCTACTGTTTATCAACATCATGAAAAAAATGCTTGGCGAGGTCAGAACGAGAGCCCTAAGAATTATGATGTCAACTGTCATGCACTGACCGCATACACCGACGACGACAGTGGACACTGACGAAACTGGAATCTTGAATCTCACATTCTGACAGAAATGTGATGCTATCAGATCAGAGTATGCCATGGTCCAAAACGACCCTCGGAAACTTGGCTTCCAGCTCCATGGGGCATTTTACCCAGCAGCGCATCCATCCTCCGATCAAGCCCAGCCTGAGCGCGTGGCCCCCCCTGAATCGTGCCATGGTCATTGTGATTGTAAGCAAGGATATGTCCTGTTGTTATTCTCATGATTGTGATGTCCGACTCGCATTTGTCAGCTGGAACTACTGCTGTGTCGATCTCCTTCACAGTGGTACGTGCCTATGCGAGGGCTACTCAGAAGCGTTGAAGTCACATCAACTTTTTATGGCCTTATGGTTCCCCCAAGGAACGCCGCCCGTCAACCATTAGAAAAAGTCACGTCAATGTACTTCCCGCAAGTAAACGCTCGACATCCAAAGAAAAAATTGGATTGTGAGGGCGCAGCAACTTACGAATCCCCAAGGAAACGCTAGTCACATCATGCCGTTGCACCGGTCGCTTGCAGGTGTTTGTGCAGCAGTTTTTTGCAAACAATCCCCATGTAAACGCTGATATTTCATGAACTTATATGAGCGCAGGGACGAGTACCTCATTACCGTCCGACCCCGAAGACATAACAACTGCAGCTCCGGAGCCTTTCCCCGAAGGAGACACGCGTTCTGACTCGTTTCCGGGAAGTCACAACATTCTGTCGTTTCCGCAACTAGATGCTCGGGTTCAACCATATAGAACAAGTGCACTTTGCATGGGAAAGTCGAAGCGGAAGTCATAACATTCGCCATATTCCTCAAGCGGACGCTCGATTTCAGAATCACCCGCTCCAGACACACATCATTTGGCATCACAATGCACGACAACCAGCCATTCCCCACGTAGGCGCTCGATTTCGCAAGCACTCACTCAAGACAAAGAAGAGTAAAATCACAGCACTTCACAACCAGCCATTCCCCAACTAGACGCTCGATTTCACAAGCACCCACTCCAGACACAGATTATTTGGCATCACAATGCACGACAACCAAGCTTTCCCCTTCCCATGCGGAGGTGCAGGTGTGCATCTCCAGCGCCAAACAGGGTGACCGAGACGCTTCCTGATAACAAGTCATTGCTACAGCCGCACACCCAAAACGACAGGACATTCCCAGGAAGACGCTCGAACTGTCAGGCAACCGGTGGTCCGAACGCAAACCTATTCCGCAACTAGACGCCGGCATCGCAACTGAAACAACACGATCCGACGCCTACGAAAAAAATGATTTACGAAGGTAACGCCCCGAAATCACAAGTTCCATCTCAAACGTCATCAAACGTTGAACATGTAATTCCCGAGTGTGGGCGCTGTTTGTGAAATTTCTAGTAAATGGACTACTGCATCAAGTGTCGTTATGCTCAGTTTGGTCGTTACGACGATTTGGAAATACTTTGATGACAACAGACTCAGGAAATTACGCAAGCAAGGCGAGTAAGTAGTGCGCAAACAACGACCTATCTCCTAATACCCATCCAAAAGTCACCCTGTTTAAAACCGAGACCTCCACCTCCGACAATCTGCCCGCTGTCTTGACAGATCGAAAACTTTGAAACCCAAACTCCAGACCGTGAGGCCAAGACTGCGGGCACCAGGCAACGCTGTGTCACAGGCAGCTACGCGTTTCCCGGACGCATGGGGTAAATGTTCTTTTTCAGTTGGTCTTGTGGGTTATCTTGTTCATGCCAACTCGCCGCGCAGCGTTCGCAGGCGTCTTTGCGCTTGCCAACTGCCTGCAACATTGATAATTAGTACACGTTTGCGGGTTTCGCGCGGGTCCTCGAATGTGTCGCGCAAGCCGAGTGGGACATACTACAGGAGAGATTAAAGTGATGTGCCTAGGGTGGTAGTATGAAAAGTACACGAAATGGAAAAAGGCCAGCCACCATCATGAATAGAATGAATCAACATCATCAACATCAAAAGAACCGAAACTCTCGGTCAAGGATGCAAAGTCGGAAAACAGCCCGAGCGTTCAGGTAGCAGCCTCACATGTTATGTACCCCTGTTCCATGCTTCAAGGCGGAGAGGCGGAGAGGAAACGGTACCAAAAGGAAACACACATTGGCGATACTGATGTCGCAGCTATTGTCGCCATCTGCGTCCCAGCGGCCAAGAGCGACAAGTTGATGCGTGCTTCTTGCTCTTTCAGAAGCTCTTGGAAGGAAGCGAGCAAGTTCGTTTCTTGCCTTAAGTATCGGGAAGCAAGATGACAGCTTAAAGCTGCTGCGGCGCAGCATGCGGAGGGTCTTAATGCCGCTGAGCGTCTCGAGCAACAGTTGCTGCAGAGCTTGGGTGGCCTTGGCCACTTTCGCAGAGAGAAAGACAAAAGGAGCAGCAGGATGTGGCTCTACTTTCTGGGCCGGGTCACCCCGGTGTCAATGCCGAGAGCTTCCTCGTATGGTCGCTCGCCATGGTCTGGCGGCGAGCCCGGCATGGCAGGACGGTAACAATTGTTGCGGGCTTGAGCCTCTTCGTGCATTCGCTACGGAACGAGGTCTACTGCCCGTGGCTGGCCTTGACTCACGTGCGCACATCGGCTGAAAAATCAGGCATGCAAAATGTGTACATGGACTGGTCGGATCCAGCTGAAAAGCGGCAGCAGGGCGCGTTCCATGACTTCGGTATGCATGACATGCTGTTTGTGCGAGTTTGGCATCCACTGGCAGGCTGTCTGTCATCTGAAGTGAAGTCATGCAAGCCGTTTTCTCTTGGTGGACATCTCGGATTCGACAACACACGCCTAATCTATGGCGTGGAACTGCCAAAGCTGAAATCCGAAAGCCCCGACCAGGAGGAAGCGGCGGTCAGAAGGACAGAAGCAGCAGGCCTTTCGAGGCAAAAGAACAATGCCCGCATGTCCGATTCTTCCAGTCTTTCAGTGCAACGACTTCGTGAGGACAGGAGCCCTCGAAAGCTGCCAAGGAGCCTGGACACTGCAGGTTTCCAGCCGGGCCCTTTCCTGCACTTCGAGGGGGGCACCCGATGAATCCGGTGCGGCGGAAGCCTGCACTCCAACCAGACCAGACAAGAAGAGCTGCAGAGAAACCGCTCATGCACACAGAGACAGCACAAAAACGAAGGCAGGCTGCGACGACTGCGACAGTGCCTGTTGTCCGACCTGCCAGCTGCTGACGGTTCTGCCAGTTCTCGCGCTCGAAACACGAACCGTCCCCTGCTTGCTACCCGTCAATACCCAGTTGCCGCAAGGAGAAATATCAGCGCAAAGCACTGGCTCTGTCAGCACTTCCAGCTTGACTGCAAGCTCACCGTGGCCATTCCAAATCACTCCACGGCCATCTTCGCCGGCTGTCAAGACTCGCGACTGATCTGGAAAGAGCATTAACACGTTCACCAGCCCCTCGTGACCCTCTGCAAACTGGCAAAGCAGCTGGCCGTCATCCGAAAACTTCTCGATGGAACCGAGGCTGCTGGCAGTTATTATGCAACCGCCATAGGGGGAGATGACAAGAGCACTGAGTCCACAGCCCCCTTCTGTCAGAAACTGCTCATCGTCCAGCCGCCAGATTTTGGCGACCCCATCCAACCCCAAACTAATCATTTGTCTGAGGTTGGGGAACACACAGCCAGCTACCACAGCAAACTTGTGGTCCATGTGTAGAAATGATGACAGCCTGCCTGATGGTGCCACCTTCCATACCCTGGCATACCCATCACATCCGCCTGTGAGTAGGAAGTTTCCGTTTGGAAAAGGGGACACGAACAAGGCTCCACCCTCATGGGCCGTGATCTCCTGCAGCTGCTCATCGGAATTCCAAACGCGCAAGGTGCCATCTTCCCCAGCGGTCACAATGTCGCCATTCGCAGGCAGGATGCACGCGCTGAAAATGACAAAGGGCACCTCGATTCCGAACTTCACCTTATGACCATGGCCAGGGACTTCACATAACCTTTCCGGCTTTGACATGTCGCATCTATGTCCGCCAAAACTCACCAATACATCGTCGACAGGCGCATCGGTGGGTTCCTCGTCTGCCAAATTACTGGGATCTGCTGGAGAAGCGTCCAACAGCACAGTGCCGACTCCTTTCACCACAGGCTTTTTGCCTCTCAGGTATGTGCGACGTTGGTCAGGGTCCTTGGCCTTAGCCTTGGCCCTTGCAACGACCTTCGCATTGACACTGCTTCCGACCATAAACCCCTAGCTGACGTTCTATCGCCCGGCTGGTTTCACCAGCCGCTGGCGCTGGGGTGTCGCACATCTGATCCGGAGCCCCAGCCCCTGGCCTGCCATGGCTAAAACTGGAATCGAGACCTATGCGTCTGACGTTTTGGCTTGGCTTGGCTGCGCAACCGCGCGCATCCCTACAAAGCCAGCGGACTCCAGTTATACACCATAATGTCTCACAGGAACGGCTACAGGCAATCGCAAGTTGAGGGAGGTATGCACCGACACCTCATATAGTCATGATCAATCATGTGCATGTAACCGACTTGAGCGAATCGCGTTGCGTCACACTTCTCACTCACGTCCCAGCGAGGAGGCAGGGTGTGCGTTCACCTTCACCGGGTGTCTTGTTGGAGTTTGCATGCACCTTCATCGTTTGGGTTTCTTGTGGTTTGGGGTTTTGGGAGGGTTTAGAAGTTTAGAACTACGGTAGGGGGTAGCAGTGGCATGAAGCAATTTGCGAGCCACTCGCGAGAGCCTGTGGGATGTTTCTCTACCGGTTGGATGACTGCTGCATATGTGGTTTCAATGTTGTTCAATTTTTCCCTCTCGCCATCAGTTACGACTAGTTGCCCGACTTGGGGTTCACACAAAGCCGTGCTACAGGATCGACAATCACAAAAGCTTCTCGCCCAAGCCCCTTGAATTGAACCTATCTGTAATTTACAAGACCGGGACCCGAAGGCGGTCAATCGGCTGAGAAAGTTTCTCCTTCAATCGTCTGCCTCCCAAGTTTGCCCACATGCACTGGGCGCGATGTCGTCTACATCGCTGGTGATTTTTATAAAATATGTGTTGTAATTCATGCAGTTGTTGGAGCGGGCTTGTCATCCTGGAGTCATCCTCAATGTCGGTACCAGAAAATGCCAGGTTGCTACGAGTGCAGTTCAGGTCTGCTGCAGAACCGGACACCAAACCCGCTCAGGAAGCGTGGAAACTCGGGCACCAGCTCCTACAAAGACCTGGTCCCAAATTTCAAGCGAGCAGATGCCTTGGCAACCTGACAGCAGTTCAACTGTGGGGCCAATGGAGCCCCAACACCAATTCTGCGCAGTTGACGCCGCTAGCGCCTCGTGCACTCATGCTCGCATATTCAAAGACCCCACTACTCTTTGTCCCTTGCCTTGTTCCACGACGATCGGACATCACTACTACCTGCACTCTCTTGGAGATTGACACACGGGACACCGTCCCAAATGTTAGCTTCAGGACAATGAGTCGTGGCGAAGCAAGTTCGTTATGCAGCGAGTCCAAGAGCAAGTTGGACCTGCTGCATTTCAAACCTCTGGTATTTACAATGCTATGAGCGTTCTGACTCGGCTGGCTGGCGAAGTCTTGGATGCTTCGTAGATGTGAACTGTGTTCAATCCATTCCTTTCCTGCCGTGCCAAGTGTTGACCTGCAAAAACGCACGTCAAAGAAAGCATGCCTGCAACATGCACCGATGAGAGCTATCTGTGCGACATTGCTTCCCAGGCCGAACTCTCAATGAAACAAAAGACGCCGTATATGCTTCTGAACCTGGCATTTCTCAAGTGGTACCAGAGCGGCCTTAGCAATTGTACAGCCTTCAAAGTTCCGGGCGGCAGGTTTCTCCGAGAACCGGAAAATAATTAACCTGCTGCTCTGCATGCTGATGCTAACTCCGGAAAACTTCGATCTGCGTTGATCTCCAGTGTTCAGTATTGCCAACTGATCAGGCTGTCCATGGCAGTTCTGCTGAGGGCATTCTGCAAATCCGGGTAGAGGACCTCAAGGTTGTGCGGCTTTGCACTGCACGCACTCTGCACGATACCAGTAGCAAATACAGTTCAGAACTACAATACGGTGTCGTGTCTCCCAGAGTGAATGATCGCTGTAAGTGCTCGACCCCACACTGTGGGCAGAAGCGGTGGGAGCAAACCCGAGCCGATCCGCACCATGGACCTGCCAGTTCAGGACATAGGTGGATCACGAAAACTTCACTTTGTGACTCAAAGCAAATTATTCCTGGCAGCCCAAATACTACGCATACACACGGAAAACGAGAACACGAGTTCAACATCCTGCCCCTTGCCCTCAATCCAACACCGTCTGAGGTGCAAAAGTTGTGCATCTTGGGCAGGCCATTGAAGAGCGGGGGCCCTGACGGAAGGTCGACCAGCGAAAGACGAGAGAGCACGAGTTAAAGCAACCGGAGCCTGGAAGAGGCCAGTGGGGCAAGCCTCGCACTTCCGGCAATCTGCCATCACCTCTGCCGCATGTCAGCACACAACATTTGTGTGGAAAACGATTAGGGTCTCCACCCAACCATGGCAAGTCAGGTGCACCAGCCATGCTCCTGCAAGATGGCAAATGCTTGCGGGCACTCTCTGTGCCCCATGCCATGGTGCAACGGCATCCTTGGCTTGCTGGATTCGACCCACGGCGCGACACATTGCCCTGACAAAAACAAGGGAGGCTGCGGCTGGCCGGTCTGGCCCGTGTGAACACACCGAACGAATTGTCTCGAGTCCTGTCTGGATCAGTTCCAGCATGGCGGCCATTTCTGCCGCCAGTGCATCACCGGAGCTGCCTTCGTAATCGGCAGCTGCATCGGCTGTGCCTGTCGGAATCGATCAAGCATCTTATGCCTTCGAGTTCGAACACCAGGAGCCTGCCGTGGTCGCACGGCTCCAGAAATCTGCTGGTAGATCATGGCCTGGAAACTTCACATCCAAACATCGCGACATCACGACGGCGTGACGCAACTCCGGAATCGAACCGAGGAATCGGGGAGCAGGCCTTGAGCTGGATCTTCCAGCCCCGGCGGCTTCGAGAGAAGGAGGTCGTTGCCATCGCATGACTCTGGAATGCCCTCCTGGTCTGGGTGGCAGTGGCCTCTTTCTGAACCTGTTTCCGATCCTGTTTGCGATCCTGAACCTAGAAGCGATGCAGTTGATTCCAGAGCTATGACCATTAAGGGCCTCGTGGTCAACGCTCGCTCGTAGTCGCGACTTGTCTGCCGAAGCCATCCCGATCGGGTCCCATGCCAGCTCGCTCAGCTCACTGTCTCGGCTCGCGAACATTGCCAAAACAGGTCTCCATTCAACTAAGAAAAAGCAAAAAGAACAACCGTGCTTTCTCTGAATCACATAGCCTTCTTCAAGCCCTTGCGAGAAAAGGAAATCCGGATGTAGGTCGAGCGGGTTCCATGTCAGCTCGGATGGCGTGTCATCCTGACATGTACACTATGGGTAGGCAACGGCAAGTAATCACAGAAGCAACGCAGCCTCTGCCCGACGTGGCGAAGCCGTCGACTCTGACCCTGACCCTGCCCGCGCTCGCGGCGTGCCTTCCCGGTCTAGGCACAAACCCTCACACGCACACGCCTCCTGCATCAATATGCTGTAATTGGACGGCTCACATTATCTCACATTTATCGAAGCAGCCGTCCAAACCGCTGCCGCATTGGAGCTTGCCGGCTTGATTCCACAATCGAAGCAAATCGCGCTTGTCTATGACGCTCTGCACCTGCGAGAGGTGAAGGGAGCCACGCGCCACCAACTCGGCTCGACAGCTCTGAGGTCGAGACAGGTCCAGTCAGCATGCCGTTTGCTTCGATGTTCAACCCCATCGTGGAACCTCAGGCTGTTCCCAACCACGCAAACGTCACAACCTCCAACACTGTCCAAAACTCAATCATAGTGACCTGGCCATGCTGCAGCCTAGAAACACAGAAGGGAAACCAACCGCCTCCTGGTGAGTTGTGGGGTTGAACCAAGTAAAAACCTGCAGAGTTGCGCACGTGGGTTGGCAGTTAACTGCCAACTTCGCGAGATGGCACAAATTGATTTGCTGATTGCTGATTGGTTGCAATTTTTTGTGTCGCATGCAAATTACCAGTACGTCCTGCGGTAAAGGATAAAAAACAGGAACTTTGTTTGGTACTATACTCTGAGCAAATACCTCACAAAACTGCTTACTAGTAAAAACAATATTTGACGTTTTTTTCCTTCCCTCCTTTTTGCGCCTGCCGAAAAGTGTCCGTGTCAACCAAAAGCTCCTACGGCAATTAGATAATGCCCCCATACACCGCCGTCCCAGTGCTCATCGCCCGAATCTGGGACCAAGCTACGCTGCATGCCCTCACTCCGGCGTCTTGCGAACCAGAAGTGCCCGTGCTGCAGCACGTGTTTGCCGTGAAGCTGGTGCTACTGTTGCACCCAACATTTTTTTGTGGCACCTGAATGTCCCTCCCTCCCGACAACATGACTGCCGCTTCGAGGTCAAAATAGGTGAAAGTGCAGTACACTAACGGTTCTATTGTTGAGACACCTTTTTCCACTTGCGGACAGTCGGAGCGCCCCAGTCCTACGTGACTTCTACACGTCGTGAAGCCAACACGCCGCCCTAAAGCAGTGCGTAAGTTACGCGGTGGAGAGCCCACTGCCGTGTGCTGTCGCTGCAGCCGTCGGCACGAGCAGCCAAAAAAAAAAACGGCCCATGCAGTACGCCTGCCCTCACGCCGTGGCTCACCGTCTGCAGCGCAGGGCTGCGCGAGGGTGGTGCCGACCGCACCCTAGACCCCCCATCCCCACAACGGCAAGCCGAGCCGCCCTTAGGCGACCTGCTGGCGGATGCTCGTGATGCTGAGGCCGTGCCCGCAAGGTGCCGGAGGCCGGAGGCGCCGCAACAGCTCGGAAGTGTGAAGGTGCCAGCGACAGTTCGGCAAAGGTGGGCTTGGCTGCGAAAGTCCGTGCCGCGAAAGGGCCTGCCTGCGAGTCCAGCAGTGCGGCAAGCGCCTGAAGGGTGGAGCGAAACCTATTTTTCTCCTACGGAGCTTTTTCCACCGGTAGACACAGTCACTGCTTACTGCCTACCAAGCAAAACCCCGACGGCCGGACGCAGGAGGCTGCCGAGTGGTGTCGCTTCGTCCTCACCGGCCGGGTCCTCAGGCGAAAATTCAGGCGGAGTAAACAACAGTTTTTTTTTCCCCGTGCACCTTTTGCGACTGCGAGTTAAAGAGGGCCCAGGTCCCGCTGCCAACTGCAGTCTACGGCGACGGGACGTGCTGCACGCACGGGCAGGGAGGCGGTGTGGCTCAGCAAACCAGGACGCGCGGGCAAACCCGGTCAAACACGCCAGCACGAGCGAGGAGAAGCGATTGCAGCACCGCGAGAAGGCCGCACCAGCGCTGGACCCAGCCTGCACAGGCACCGGCCCGGGGCCGCAAGGTGCCGGCAATGTGGAGAAGGAAAGCGGCAGCTTCGGCACCGAAGCGCCCGCCGACCTCGGCCCCGATAACGAGGAGACGCGCCCATCGCGCGCTCTGGAGCTCAGCGTGCGTTTCGCGCCGCTTACGGCGAGCGGCAAACTGGGAGCTCCCCGTTCCGCGTATCACAAGTCTGACGAGCGTGGCGTCAAGCGCGAGGTGCCCCCCGTGCCGAAAGGGCAGGCTGTATGCGTTGTCCTCAATGCAATGTGCGTTCGCTGAGGAAAACATGGATGGTCATGTCAAGGAAACGGACTTTGCGGGCAACTCGTGCGCCGGCGACCGCATGCTCGAGCGGAAGGGCTCCGAACGCCAACACGCCGGATGTGGGCACAAGCGGCGCGGTGGGCACTGAACGGGTCGAAGCGGCCCCGGCAGCGGCAGGTGCGCGGCGTGAGCGGTAGTGGCAGACGAAGCCGTCGCAGAAGGGCTGCGCTCGCGACCAAAGGCTGCCCCGCTTCTGCCGTTTGCTCGCCAAATCTACGGCACCGAAACTTCCAGGCATTGGCCCAATCCCGAGCTGCATCAAGGCTCGTTGTAGGTCAGCAGGGCTATCACTTAAAATGACGATGTCATCGGCATATAACAAAACCTGTAGGCGCGGTGCGCCGTGGTCAGGGCCGCATGATACACCCCCACAAGCACGCTTACTGGCAGCTGCAAGCTCGTTGATGAGTAAATTGAGGAGGAAACCACTCAAAACAGCACCTTGCCCTACCCCACCTTCCACATCCCACGAGTCCGAAGCACATGATCCGATACGTACTGCAGCGGTTCGGTCACATCGGTCACTCACCAAATCATCCACCAAATGCCACACGTGAATGGGGATGCCCGCCTTATACAATTTCAGAAGTGCCCCATCGCGCCAAGCTGCATCGAAAACTTCTCGGAGGCCAAGAAAAGGCGCAGAAACATCGAGAGTTTTTGCGCAATCGAAGTGTCTCCCACAACGTCACAAGCTGCCACGGCGAAGCGTGGCCGTCCCCGTGCGGCGGAGCAGCAGGCGCAGGCGCAACGCTCCAGCCTGTACAGGAAAGCCAACCTCACGTAGTGCCACGAGGCCCATTAAGCGGCCATTGCACCGGAGGTGGCAGTTCACAGACCCAGGCCCCTTAACGCTTCGGGCGCTTCTTCTTCCTGACGCTTTAAAGTGCGGACACACGAAGCAACGGCCCGATCATGTTTGCGGGAGAAATAAGCCGTGCAGTGCGGGGGGAGCATACGGAGGAGGTAGTTGGCGCGGGCGGAGGCTCAAAAGAGCAGCGGCAACCAAACTGCAGGCCACCCAGGACGGGGATAGGCTCGAAAAGGACTGCGTTGCCGCGAGTTTCGGCGGTTCCTCTCCCGCTGCGTTCCAGACACAGGTCTTGCTTTGGTTGAGTTGGACCTTGCATGGTCCCAAGGAGCATCGGCGAGGGCGCCGTCGTAGACGGTGGCGATGCGCTCGGCGAAGCAAACGATGTAAAAATCGTCCAGGAACGCAAAAGGTGCAGTGCGGACGCGACAGTGTGAAGGGCGGCGTGTTGGGCCGCTGCATAAACCGTAGGCAGGAGGGTGTCGCCTTGCTGTCCGCCGTCGGTTAGCAGGACCTTGTGCTCGGTCCAAGTTTCCTAACAAATCCGCCTTCGTCGTGTTTGGGCGACGCCGTGCTGGTACACAGCACGTCCGCTTCCATGTTGGTGAACATGTCCTCCCACGTGCCAGCACGTACACTTCCTTAGGGATCACTCTCCATGAACGCTTGGTGTGGACGCAACACATCGATGATTTATTTTTAGTCCGGGGTGAGCGTAAACTTGCTGCTGAACTTGCTGCATGTGTTTCATGAACACCGTCAACCACTTTGCCACTTGCAGAGCATTTTCCATTCCTACGTGAGACCGTTTGCTTGTTTCGGGTTGCCGCGAGGTGCTCGAATTCGCCGGTTTCAGGCTCGCTTAATAAAATGGGGTCGACGGTTGCTTACTTGGCCGCATGGCAGCTCTCGTGTTGCTGTCTAGGGCCAACGTGGTTGGCATGATGCCGACACCTCGCGCCTCTCTCAAGCAGCAGGCTTTCGTGCACGTTTACTCTGCCTTCCTCCTCATTGTTTTGCTGCGCAGCTAGCACAATTTGCATTGAACCAGCCTTTATCGGGTCCGTGAAGTATTGGGTGAGCTCTCTTTGCTCGATGTCCCACCTCCGCATGCTTACGGCATCCACTTTGGTAGCCCTGCAACCCTGGCTTCGCACCGTGAAAACGTTGTTAACGCGGCACGCCGACCGCCGCTATGCTTCTTTGTTTAAGGAATGCAGCAACTTCCAGCAAATGCCTGTTGGCAACCCACGCCCGCCTTGCACTGCGCTGTCTATCGACCCGCGGTTACAACACATCGAGCGCGACATTGGGGATTGGCACGTTGCGGCCATCACCCGTTTGCTGATGGCCGTGCAGCCAGACATCGAGCTCTTAGTGTGTCCTTGATCAATTGCCCTTGCCGTTTCTGTGCCCGCAGCGTGGCGCATGCCTTGTTTGACTGCCCCGCTGGGCCAGAAGGTCTCGCAATGTATTATCTTTGCACGTCGTATTCTCCACAGATGGAGATGTCAACACATTCCGTGACATCAGGAACAACATTGATTTTGTGGCGGATGTGTGCATAGCCACCGGAGCATGTGAGATGTGACAGTATATTTCTGAGCGCGAAGTTTTAAATCCGGTTTGTACATACCGGTTCCGTCGATATGATGTGCAACATGCCTGGTTCCGAACTCAGTGATTTTGTGTTAATGTGTTGTTCATAGCATGCTTGGTTCCAGACTTTGTTTTGGGTGTTGGTTTGTTTGTTTGGTTGTTCTTGGCTTGCTCGTGGTGGGTGGCGACCCAGCATGCTTATCATAATTGCTCTCTGACCGTGACCCACGGTCGTTTCCGGACACGCCTATCTCACCCCAACTTTTTTCCGACTGCACCAGCAATCCCGTCCTGAGCGCTGCTGCTTTCGCAGGCTGGACTCCATTCTGGCCGTGTCCTCACTGTCCTCCCCATGTCAGCTGCTGTCACCCTTCCAGCACTTCATTCAAGCATGGCCAGTCGAGAGACATGGTCGAAAGCCCGTACAACGTCGACCGACAACACAGTGCTGCGATGGTTGTTTTTTTAGTTTTCCTTGCGTGCCTTTTTACGAGTGCAAGGGCTGAAGCAAACGACGTGTAACCGCTACTCGCTTGGCAGTCCGCCTGAGGCAAGCGGGGTACCTCCTAGCGCCTTTCCGCGAGGAGCTCGTGCAGCTCAGACCCCGGCCCGTCGCTGAGATCGGCGGCCGTACGCAACTCGATCAAGGAAACAGCGAAGACTCGTTGCGCGGCGACTGCGAGGA